TGCTCCCTCGATCGAGTAGTGCCCGGTCTCTTTTCTTTTTGCTCATACCCGACCGAGTATAAGGTTATACTCGATCGGGTATGTCCCCAGATGTTCAAAAACCTGCAATTTTTTTTTTTTATTTCTTTTCTTCCAAAAACCCATGATTAGTGCCCTCCCTCACTGATCTCTCAAATAATTAAACAAAAAAATGAATTCTAAATAAATAAAAAGAAAAATGAATTATACAAAAAAAAAAAAAAAAACTTGGGTTGCCTCCCAAGTAGCGCCTTAGTTAACGTCGGGGCACGACGTTATTCATTTTTTTTTGGTTTTGTTTTATGTGGGATCATGAGTATCCCTTGTTTCACTTTTTAAGGCCCTATTTGGCCATTTTTCATTTTTATTTTTCGGCCTTTTCCAGTAAGGCCGGGGTTTCTTTCTCAAAAGACATCTGGTTTTATCCGCTTCTTTGAAAAACAGAGGTTCTTGTGGTTCAACAACATGTAAAGAACACAGAGTTGGATTTTGTATTTGTTTTTTCGTAGAGTCCAAGATGTTGAACTCCACTTTTTGATCATCGAACTCTAAAGTTAGTGAACCACTAGAAACGTCAATTTTCGTTTTTGCGGTCTTCATGAAGGGTCTACCCAAAAGGATGGGTGTTGTTTGGTCATTAGTTCCCATTTCAAGGACATAGAAGTCAACAGGAAAGACCATATTTTCTACTTCTATTAGCACATCTTCTACTACACCCTTCGGGTAAGTACTAGAATGATCTGCCAATTGAATCACTACACATGTTTGATGTAATGGGCCAAGTTGTAGAGTTTTATAAACAGAATAGGGGATGACATTTATTGATGCCCCTAAATCTAACAAGGCCTTAGGAAATGTGGTGTCTCCTATTTTGCAAGGGATAGTGAACATGCCTGGGTCGTTACATTTTTCGGGGAGTTTCCTCTGAAAAATGGCCGAGATGTGTTCACTAACTCTAACCTCTTGTCTCCCTTTCAATTTATCTTTTCTTTTTGTTTTGCATAATTCTTTTAAGAATTTAGCAAAACGGGGGACATTTTTCATGAAGTTAAGAAGCGGAATGTTTACCTCACACTTTGCGAAGGTTTCATAGATGTCGGCGTCTTTTTCTAGCTTCTTTGTCTCTTTCAGCGCCTCAGGGAACGGGATTTCTTGTTCATATGATGAGGGTGGGGGAAGCTTGGTTCCTGTATTTTCCTCCTCCGGTGGGACTATTTTTTCGGGGTCCACACCCTCAGTCTCTTCATCGTTCTCTTCTGCCCCTTTCAACGTTGCACCACTTCTCAACGTTATAGCATTCACATGTTGTCTCGGATTTTGCTCCGTTTGAGATGGGAGTTTACCCGAGTCTTTTGTTTCAAGTCGGTTCACGGCATTTGCAATTTGACTGACTTGGTTTTCCAAATTCTGAATGCTGGATTTGGTCTCATGCTGAAATTGAACCATGTTTTGTTGCATGGTTGAGACATTTGAGGTGAGAGATCGGATCATGTCCTCGGTGGACATACTTGAGCTTGACGTCTGGCCTTGGTGCTTTGGGAAAGTTGGTGGCAAGGACTGATTTTGAGGATTCCCATACCTCAAATTTGGGTGGTCTCTCCACCCAGGATTGTAGGAGTTAGAGTGTGGATCATACCTCTTTTGACCTTGAAATCCCAAAGCATTGACTTGCTCGGAATTCTCCTCTTGTAGTGTTGGGCAGGAATCGGTGGGGTGCCCCTGTGTCGAGCATATGCCGCAGACCTTGACTTCTTGGTGTTTTGGATTTAAAAGGAAATCCTTTACCAAAGAAGTCAAGCCGGCCACTTGACTTTCCAACGAGATGTTGGATTCCGCTGCCATGACCCGTTTTGATGATGACCTCCCATTGTAGTGCCTAGAATTCTCGGCCAACTCCGAGATGAGGTTCCTAGCTTGGGAAGGGGTTTTGTTGACAATTCCCCCTCCAGATGCTGCGTTCACCAGGCGTCTATCTTGCTCCGCAAGACCGTCATAGAAGTAGAGGATGAGGTCTTGCTCTGTATAACCGTGATATGGGCAGCTAGCGCACAACTTTTTGAAACGCTCCCAATACTCATATAATGTCTCATCATCTTTTTGTTCGATGTTGCTTATTTGTTTTTTCAAGGATGATGAGACAGATGCAGGGTAGTACCTTTCGAGGAAGCATTTTTTCATTGACGCCCATGTATCTATACTCCCTGATGGGAGATAGAATAGTCAATCCTTCGCCGTGTCTTTGAGGGAGAATGGAAAAGCCCTCAATTTGATTTGTTCCTCGGTGACTCCATTGGGGCACATGCTTGTGCAGACAATATGGAATTCCGAGAGATGTTTGTTGGGGTCCTCCCCCCTTAGGCCATGAAAGGATGGCAGTAGATGTATGAGCCCAGATTTTAGCTCAAATGTATTACCTTCATCGAGTGTAGGGAAGGTAATACATAACGGTTGTTGATTGAGATTTGGAGCAGTGAGCTCCCGTAGTGTTCTTGCCTCAAGAGCCATGGTTATTGACTCTTCGGTCTCGCTAGAATGAGAACTAGCGCTGGATGAATCTCTGATAGATGATTCCTCCGAGTCGGTATTAAAAAATTTACTTTTCAACCGCTCGAAAGTGTGTTCTATTTCTGGGTTTGTTTGGTATGTGATTTTGTTTATGGAGCGATGTTTAACCATAAACTCCACTAAGCTCAGAAATAGAAGAAATAAGAACTCTTTATATTTTTTTTTATTTAATATTTTTTTTTTTGAAATGAAATAAAAGAAAAATTAATTGACTTTCCCCGGCAACGGCGCCAAATTTGACGTGCACTCGTCGTTAGGTGCACTCAAAGTAATTAATCAATACGACACTAATACGTAGTATAGTGTAGTAAGGTTCGTATCCACAGGGAAAGGAATACTTTTCTTTTATATAAATAGTAACAAGGGGGGTTTAGATTTGTTTGGTTTAATAACACTAAGATAAACGACCTATATGAGTTTAATTCAATGAGATGGGGATTTGGTTTTGCTTTTATCCACTTAATGAAATGTTCGTCGATCTCGGTTATATCTTTAACTATCTTCCTCTCGAATACTCAATCGAGGAGTATATCCAGTTAATCGAGGGTAGTTATTAATAATGAGATGTGTTCATTAATAAAACTTACTATCGAGTCAATATAGAACAAGCGCTGTATATTAACTTGATAGTAGCAATAAACTTAAGATGAAAACGATTGAGATTGATAACCTCAACACAAGCGGTTTATTGGTTTAATCAATATAATTAATTCCCCTTGGCATATTAACCATGAGATGCATGCATTAATATTCCAAGTTTACTACCGTTGAAAGAACCGGATTAATAACAAGCGTATTAACCGATTGATTCTAGTAATAATTAATATGAGAAACAATACTAGTTGATACTTTAAGTAATGTTTAAGATATTAACATGAAATATGAATAGGAATTAATTAATACTCAAGGAAGAATATTAAAATATATGAATCCTACTATGATTAGTATCAAGATGTCAACTAATTGTCATCTTAGTAACACTCCCCAATATTATCATAGAGGAAGAAATAGCTATTACTATAACCAATGTCAAGATGTTAACTAATTGTCATCTTAGTAACACTCCCCAACTTTGATATAGAGATAGTATTTTGAAAGAAAGAATTAATATTCAAGGAAGAAGATTAAAGAAAATAACTCACAACTTACAAATTCATTAAGCTTCAAAGTAGCAAAACCAAGATGGAAGAGTTTAGCTCCTCATTTGGAGACTAAACATGATGAAAAATATAAAGAAAGAGCTATTCTATACTGAGCTTAGATGTACAAGGGATTGGATATCTTTTTGTGAAGGAAAGGAGGTGTATTTATAGGTTTTTGGGATGAGATTCGGGTACTCGATCGGGTATATACATGGTACCCGATCGAGTATGTGTGTAACATCCGATTCGAGGCATACTCGACCGGTTTCAGGCTATTTTCTAAGTGTATACCCCATCGAGTATATATGAATACCCGGTCGAGTATGCTTAGAAAGTGATATTCGGGCTATACTCGACCGATCTTCGTTTGCAATTTAAAGGCATACCCGATCGGGTATGTCGGTCTACCCGATCAGGTATAGACATAGAATCGTGGCCAAAATCTTCCCCGCATGTTCCTTTGTCTTCGGATCTGATCCGATTTGAAGTTCCAACCTAATACCCGATCGAGTATAGCTAATACTCGACCGAGTATAGACCAAAATTCAGGATCTTCTTTTGTCTTTGAACTTTTGCACCTTCTTTTCACTTTTTGGGTTCACCAACTGTACTTTGGGTGACCAAAACCTGCTTATGCTCAGAATATGTCTAATCTAACCTATTTACAAGAATTTAACAATCTAATCTATTACACCAAAAGTGTGTAATTTCCAAAGTAAAAGTCAAGCATAACTAATTAAAAACATAAACATAGAAATGGAAATTACGAACGTATCAGTTACCTACTGTCCAAGGACTTTATTCAAGTTGTTCTAATAGTATATTGAAGGATTTATTTCAAACCTACTCACTAGTAGAAAAAGCGCCTATAGTGACACTAATTTAGTGTCGCTGAAACTTTCAGCGACACTAAAAAAGTGTCGGGGAAAGTGGCGGTAGCGACACTATATTTAGTGTCACTGATGCGGGGACGGTTTTGTGTCAGCAAATAGTGACACTAATTTATCGGCTAAAATAGCGACATTTATGCATCAAGAACACATTGTGACATTAATACATCATAGATTTTTATGACACTTTCAGCATCATAGATTTTTATGACACTTTCAGTATCATACATTTGTATGATACTTTCAGCATCATAGATTTTTATGACACTTCAATGTGACTTGGTTGATTTTGTTAATTGGGCCTATATAGGCCTAGATAATATGCCCATGGTAGCTTTAGTAGAATTCAAATTTATTGCTTACTTCATTCATAAATATTATAACATCCAAAAATTAATGGATACCCAAAACACATCATTTAACATATAATATTCAGTAACAATTTCACATTCTTGTTCAATTACATTTCCTACCGCCGGATAAAAGATATAGAAAAATTCGAGCATGCAATATTCCCGCAAAAAACCGGCTATTGAAATTCAGCAAAAAAACTACTACCAAGCATCATTGAAGATGCTAAAATACAAACAAGTCACATTCCCAACAGGTACCAATGTTTAGTTATCAAAAGTTTGACCTGCCTCTACATTCTACAAACATAACATAACACCGACCATTCTAACCGCCATCAACAATAATCAGAAATGCATCTCCCCGTGCATATCATCAAGCCTTTGTAGGATCCGCTTGCACACTACATATCAAACAAAATATAATATTACATCCATATATTATGAAACTTATTTTCAATTCGGTAAATTTTAAATGTGAACTTACTTTTTTATCAAAGTAGCAGCATACAAAGCCCACTCCTCACGCACTTGTAAAATATCATCTTCGGTATACTCCTTGACGGTAGAGAACTTCAATGTAAAATTAAATTAATTAGCACTTACTATCATTACAAGATACACTAATTAATTAATTGCGCTCACATTCTGTTTCAAACGATTCACGTCAGATACAATATCCTTCATGTACTTCATCACAAAGTAACCACACTCAACTCCTCCTGTTTGCTTAGGGCACTGCATATATTCAATTTAAATAGACAGTAAATACAAACTAAGATTTATTAAAAACAAAGAACAAGTTATAGTAAAAAAATAATACAGTCAAGTATTGAATGGATTGCAATAATTCACTTCTTTGGGCACTGCATATATTCAATTTAAATAGAGAGTAAATACAAACTAAGATTTACTAAAAACAAAGAACAAGTTATAGTAAAAAAATAATGCAGTCAAGTATTGAATGGATTGCAATAATTCATTTCTTTAACTCACTTCTTTAAAACAAATTGCAATAATTCAATAGGAGTATGCTTCATGGATTGGCCTTTCCAAAGGTATTTTATTCTTTTTTATCTTTTGGACCAGATTCCCTTGGGAAGTTGAGCCATGATTTTTATGCAACTTGAGACTTGCAAGTAGGCATATGGAATGGCTATTACCCTATTTGCGCATGACATGTGAAACATATAGATAACATCACCATTTGATCCAGATTTTTCACTATAATATTATTATTCATAATCTGGAATCATTACCCACTATCATTAATTCAGAAACTACCTTCTTCATATCCTGTGCATTTACCCTCTATCATTTACATTGATTTAATTAACTAACAAACTAATAATAATAGAATTATAAACAAATATTTTCTGGCCGGGACAGTTCATACTGATTAAAACTTGTAGCATACAAATCACAGCCGCTAATTTAAAAACTTGCAAATGATAAATATTGTTCCTAAGGATGGAGTATCTAAAATAAGAATAGAACTTGCAAAAGGGATGATCTGTCTTTCCATATTTCAAAAATGCAGTTCCAATTATGGACCTTACATGTAAGGTCAAAGGGATCTCACATGTATGGTAAAATGCTATTCATATGAACAATATAGAATTAAAAACAGCTCCTAAACACATTCAGATTAAATAAAATTAATAGGTGTCACATCTAATTGGTAGCACAGACTGCACAGTTGAGATTCAACGAAGTTTCACGGTTGCAACTTACAAGAGATGAGTATCTAAATTCAGAAAATAACTGAACAACCATGGTTCATAACAAAGACCCATTAATTTTAGTGAACTGCCTTTCCGTACTACAAAACACCAGTTCAGATTTCTGATCTTTAGTCAAAAGGATCTCATGAACAAATCACAGCCGCTAATTTATACTAAAAGTGATAATAAACATCAAAGGATACATACCATCACTCTCACCCATTTTAAATTCAACCTTTTCTTGGATTTTTGGGCATGATTAATCATCACCCCTCTGAAAAGGAAACACAGTCATTATTAAAATTCAACCGATCCAATATTTTCTCATCATTTAAAGGGCCTATGTAACTTAACTGATTCATGATTTCCTCCAAATCCTTCGATGGAATTCCTCCCAAGGAATCTAGGTAGTAAATCGTTTCAGCCGCCATGTCGATGGCGACCAACACCCAATGATTCCTACATAACAATGAAACTATATGTAATTACAAAAGCACCATTGTTTGCAAATACAAGTCACTTGCAAAAGAGATTACTTACCCGGTATTATAGGGGATTAAAGTCATTTGTCCAAGCAAGGAAATATCCAAAAGATCAGCTATGTATTGTGACCTCCTAGTAACCGCTTGGTGTGATGCCCTCTTTGGTATTGCTATGGCAGCAGGAGTACCAAACTGGACTGGCATGTCCCCTCCATCAGCCTCCATTTTCTCATGCAAGTACCTATTAAATTATTACTAATCAAGTTGAATTAAGTTCATTCATTTTGATGTTTATAATAAGATACTCTTACCACTTTATACTGTAATACAATAATGATTTTAATGCAATTGAATGTAATATATAATAAATGGGAACTTATTACCTCGCCCAAATTTCAACAACTGAATTTGAAACCTGCTGAAAGTTGATAACAGAGCGGCAAACCTCCTTGTTAAACATAGTTTTTGTTTGGAATCCAAAATTTTCAGCATCTTGCTTGATGCTGTTCATCTCTCCTAAACAATTTTCCACTAAAATGCAAAACATCATCATGTTAGCGCTTTGTTCCTTTCTATTTTCAGCAACGGACCTGGTCATTCTTTGCACGTTTAGCTGGGACTTAGCTTTCATTCCAGTCCTTATCTCTTTCACAAATACCACCTCGCACCCCTGTTTTTGTTTTCCCTCCACTCGGTCATTCTCCATATTTGCTATTGACTGATATTCCTCTTCATTCATATCCTGTATGTAGCATAGAGTGTGCATGTAATTTACAAACATTACTATCGTATTTAATCAAATAAACATATGCAACTAGACGTCTAACCATATCATGGGAGTGAGCATTGGCTTGTCCTAAAGTATCCGTGTTTATGTGCTGAGGGGAATTTCTGGGAACGCTTCCAAATAGCTTCTTCCGATGAGTAAATACTGGTTTCTCCACCTCTCCAACAGTCTATATCATAGAAGTTAACTATTTATTAATAACTATATCTCATTAAACATTCACTTAGAGATGTAGTTGTACATACCTTCTGCATTCCATGACTCTCACCCTTGGGTTGTTCATTATTACCCTCCATTTCAGCATGTTTCAACTTCAACCTGGGAGATTTTCTAGGAGCACTGCAGCGTTCCTTCAAAGGACTAAGTATCGACTGCTCAACGTCATCACCAACCTTAAAATGACAAATACGTATTAAACATAAAAGCGTAAATAAGGTGCAAAATTATCCAGCAGAAGTTATGTGTGTACCTTTCTTTTCTGAGATTTATTGGCATTGCTGCAACTACCAATTTCACTAAAAGCATTGGACACATGATCTTTCATTTCACTAAACTTCTGCAACATCATTTCATACCTTCTATCACATACGTCTTGTACTTTGTCCTTCTCGGTTTTGGTTGCCTTTGGCATGTAAAAGTATCGTGTTGGGGTAATGAAGTGCCCCAACCCCTGTACTCTACTGCCATTTGGTTTTTTCTGAAGAGCAACTGAGAGCACATCATCGTCTCCACGAGGCACAAATGATCCTTCCTTCACCTTATTTTTGAGCTCCTTCTACACAAACAAACATGTTACATCAGAACATTACTAGAGCATTACCAAATTGTGTCAAACACCATTTTTTTATTCTAAAAAGAGCATAAAACGAGTCAATTTATTGACCTCAGTACACTGGGAATTTTTTTACTAAAAGATGCATGTTCATATTCATAAAATTATTACAACCCTTACTATTTCTTCTGCAACTTCCAAAACCTCAGGATCATATCCACCATCTTTTCTTTCTCTTCCCAAGAGCCATGTATCCGCTCGATCAATGTCGTTGACATTACTTCCAAGTTGTTCTTTCTTTGAGTTTTGAAAACAGAAAAGGTATATCATCTAAATACTCATATACACAATCGAATAATTTTAATAAAGGAAGATTAGAACAAACCTTCTTTAAAAGTAACCCTCCATAACCTGTTGAACCTAATCGGTGATTATATATATTCTTCTTTCGATTTTCACATGCTTTTTTGCTTTTTTCCTAAAAGCATTTAACAAAATTATTACATATATTCACAAATGTTTCTACTTATATTAAATGCATTAGTAAGTTCTATCACCTGGAATTCTACTGTAAAGCACCTCTTCACAAATATTCTCCATTCATCAGTACCAATGTGCTTATATTCTTTTGGAGGTAAGCTTAACTTCTCGGGCTCATCCATGTGTTGTGCAATGAATTCAGTGTACAAAGTGCACCTAAAATTTTTATGTGCAGCTCCCATTGTTTGGAGTATATGTTTCTCTGAATTAGTAGGCAACACAAACAGATCCTACATCCAAAAGAACATTATATTATTGAATGAATAATAAAAAACTTAAAGACTACAAATAAACTGAAAGAACTCAACACTTAAAGACTAAAAAAGTAATTGACAAAGTTAATAGCAGCTCACATGCATATAGTTTCTTACCTGAATATGCGTCAACATATCATTTTTCAACTTAAGCGGGACTCTTCTACAGTCATGGTACACTATGGGCACATGGTCCCTGACTATAACCCTAAGGTAATTAGACAGTTCCGTCCAGCCCTTACCTGCTAAAACATCAAGCTCATTAACTTCCACAATCACTTTATGATCACCACTTTTCTTCAACATCATCTTCTTCTTTGTCTTTTCTCGCCTACGTGGCCTCCCATCCAGTTCATCCATATCAACATTGTCCATGTCTTCATTTTGATTCTTCATATCAAACTGTATCCTACATAATAACAAGATTATACATACAAATAAAGTTATTTTCCTTTGAATTGAATTACAAATCACAAATAATACACAATTGAAGTAAAATAAACCAGAAAGTTATGTAAAAGTAATACTTACTAAAACGTAGCAATGAATTCATTCCAATTTTGACTAATTGGATTATTAATTCGCATCACAAAGTACTCTATCATAAATTCCATCATCATCTGGGGTTTCCAAATCAAGAATTTGTGTTGTGTAATGTGAAGTTAGGGGATCATGTATAACCATTTCATCACATCCAGCGTCTGCAACGTGACTAACCTTCTGACCAACTGAACAAACCACTGATTTTCTTGGATGAAGTTGATCTTTCACATAAAAAACTTGTTTGGCATGCGCGGCTAAAATGAAACAATCTTTTTTATGACCTATCTTATTTAGATCAAATATTGTGAAGCCCAACTTATCTTCTTCTACATGTCTATTATCTACCCAGTCACACTTGACAACCACCCTCTTAGTCATCAGATAGTGAAGGACCCAAATTTCAGTTAGAACGCCGTAGTAATTCAAGTCCGCTACAAGACTAACCCCACTATTTTGTGTAACACGACTTAAATCCCGCTCCTTTGTAGCAAAACTAAATCCATTTATACTGTACCCAGAGTAAGTTGTCACTGTTGTGTTTGGTTTTTTAGCTAGCCATCTGACAGTTTTGTCCACATCAATTCCATTTGCAACATCATTAAGAACCTACAAATTATATGCTAAATATTCAATATATTTATGTAACATTTTAAATATGATCAGTAACCATAAGTTAATAACGAGTAACATTCTCTTCAAACCACTTAACAAATGTTCGATAATGCTCTATTTCAATACAACCATCATCATAAAATGATTGCAGCTCGAACATATGCTCCCTATTTTTTTTAACAAAAAGAGTTAGATTATATAATATACACAAAATAGACAAAACCGAAATAAACAATGGAGTGCTTACTTTATGTACGGCTGAACTTCGGGCGTATTAAATAGAACAGTACGACGTGCTTGCTCAAGCAATGAGCAATCAACTATTTTAGTGTCCCCGCGTCCTAGAGGCCTTTCAATTGGGTCATCATTATCAGAATGTGTAGGTAACCCAATTGATTCATGGTTGGAAATATACTCGGCACAAAATTCAAGAGCTTCCTCTACCACATAACATTCGGCAATGCATCCCTTAGGATGGTAATGATTGCGGACGAACCCTTTTAAGAATTTCATGCTTCTCTCAAAAGGGTACATCCAACAGAGAAAAACTGGGCCACAAAGACGCACTTGAGCAACAAGATGGACTGTCAAATGAACCATTATATCAAAAAATGATGGCAAAAAATATTGCTCAAGACAGCACATGGTGATGTGGTGACTGGACTCTAAATCATCAAGTGAATCAGGATCTAGGACCTTCTCACATAGTCTGTTGAAGAATAAGCACATACTAGTTATCGCATTGGTAACATTTTCTGCCACTGACATGTTCCGAATGGCCAAGGGAAGTATTTGTTGCATCAAGGTATGACAATCATGAGATTTAAGACCTTGAAGGTGACTGTCATCATCAGAAACTATGTTTTTCAGGTTTGATGAATAACCATCAGGCACTTTTATTTGCAGTATGGTTTCACAAAATTTTTGTTTGTCTTTTTTGCTCAGGGTGTAGGGTGCTGGAGGCAATGATTTGGAATTCTCTTTAGGAATTAAGTTTTTCCTAATGTTCAAATGAGCAAGGTCATCTCGAGCTCTAGGTCCATCTTTTGTTTTGCTCGATTGATCAAGAAGCGTTCCATAGATGCTCTCACACACATTCTTCTCTATGTGCATCACATCTAATAGATGACGAACCAATAAATTCTTCCAATACTCTAGATAAAAAAAAATTGATTTGCGCTTGAACAATCTATTGTCTCCATCGTTGTGATCACGCTTTCTCTTTCTTTTGCGGTCCTTGCGCTTCCCGCTTTTGTAATTTATTCCTTCAACCAACTTAAGAACATCTTCACCGGAGAGGGTTGCTGGAGGTCCCTCTCTCTCAACTTGATTATTGAAGACTTTCTTTAAATCTCTAAACCTGTGGTTTTTCGGTAAAAAGCGACGATGGCTCATATAGACACATTTCTTACTACATTTCAGCCATATTGAACGAGTGCCCGACCCACAAACAGGACATGCAAAATACCCCTTCACGGTGCTACCAGACAGATTACCATAAGCTGGGAAGTCACTTATGGTCCACATCAATATAGCTCTTAACCTGAAGGTCTCCTTTCTAAAACTATCGAAAACATGTACACCATCATTCCACAAGGTTTTAAGGTCATCAATCAGGGGTTCTAAATAGACATCTATATCATTCCCAGGAAGTTTAGGACCAGAAATTAAAAGAGATAACATCATGAATTTTCTTTTCATGGTCAACCAAGGGGGGAGATTATAGATGACTACCTGAACAGGCCAACAACTATACGAAGAACTAAATGAACTGTGTGGATTTACTCCATCACTTGAAAGAGCTAACCTCAGATTCCTAGGATCTTGACTAAAATCAGGCCACATTTTATCAATGTGATGCCAAGCTTGAGCATCAGCAGGATGATGCAATTTACCATCTTTAATGCGATGGTCTGCATGCCATGTCATGTCTTCAGCGGTTTTAGTAGACTGGAACATACGTTTGAACCTAGGAATTGGAGGAAAGTACCACAATACTTTCTCAGGAATTCTACTAGTAGCTGTTATGGATCCATTCTTTGTCTCTTTCCACCTAGACTCTCCGCACGTAGGGCATTTTTCAAGATCACTGTGTTGCTTATGAAAGAGGATGCAATCATTGCGACAAACATGTATCTTTTGGTAATCCAAACCTAACACCTTCATTATTTTCTTAGCTTCATACATTGACTTGGGAATGGTGTTATCGGTGGGTAGTAGACTCGAAAGAGCTTCTAATAAAGCTGAGAACCCTTGATCAGACCATCCATATTTTCCTTTTACATTAAATAATCCTGAAAGCCTTGTATAACTTGAACCTGAGTATAATGGTTTCTCAGCATCTTCAACTACATCCTTAAACCTCTTTGGATTACCATCTAGTTCTTCATAAACATCGCCTAACATGTCACCAATTTCATTTTGATCATGAAAATTTGATTGAGAGGGATTAAAGGTTGGAGTTTTTGCAGTCTCTCCATGCCTAGTCCAAACAAGGTACGTTTTCAAGAAACCAACTTTTAACAAATGTACTTTTATTTGTTCAGGCTTATGAAATTCCATGTTACAACAATTTCTACACGGACACCTAATTGATCTACGATTTTATGAGTTGAGCATAGAAAATTGTAAGAACTCACCAACTCCATTTCTGTATTCTTCAGACAACCTGTTTCCATCCTTTATCCAAGACCTATCCATCTCTCAATTCCTGATAATTATTAGATCCCAACAAAATATTTAACATACATGCTTAAATAACATATGCAAACACTTGGAAGAAATCGGGGGGAATACTTTAACCAAAGAACTTTGTTCAGTTTAATGTTATTACTTTCATATTTTCTACACATTTTAATATTAACCAAAGAACTTTAGTTAACAAAACTGAAAAAATATGTTTAGTAACTTTGTTTTAGTCTATTTAGTTAACGTATTGAGTACTCTCCTAGTTTAGATAACAAACTAAAAAGATTTGTATAAGAACTTTGTTTTGAACTCACTGATAAACTAATAATGCCTTGAAAGAATAGTAGATTTCATTTTTATTTACAACTTTGTTGGACCAATAAAGAATCAAATTGTAGCAGGGATAGAGCAAGTACTCACAAGAAAATGATAAAAACAGGCCCGCCTTTAGAATTTTGGAGGCCCTAGATGAAAAAAATATAATCAATAAATTATGTTAATGTCATCCTATAACAAAAAATAAAATATATATAGATATTTAGTTTGGTCTTCTATATTTTTTAGTGAGAATCACAAATCAAACAAAATAACTAATTTGCTATGATCACCGAAAGATAGATAAATATTTATATTGGATGGGTCATTTCTTGTTGACTTAGCAGCTTCAGAAGCCGTGGCTGGAGTTCCACCTTCTATTTCAGACTGCAGTATATAAAAAAATTTATCTGTTAAGCATATTAATTAACTTAAGTCTGAAACATACTAACTGTAAACATGTAAACATGTTGTACATGTAAACATATTAAGCATATTAACTGTTAAGCATACTAACTTAAGCATATTAACTGTAAACAAGTTTAATATTAACTGTTAAGCATACTAACTTAAGCGTATTAACTGTAAACAAGTTTAATATTAACAGTCAGTAATGTTGTACATGTAAACATATTAAGCATATTAACTCTTAAGCATACTAACATGTTTTACTTATTAACTGAAGTCTGAAACATACTAACTTAAGCATATTAACAGTAAACAAGTTTAATAAGCATATTAAGCATATTAACTGTTAAAGTGTTAAACTGTAAACAAGTTTAAGCATATTAACTGTTAAACTGTAAACAAGTTTATGTGTATAACTGTATAAGCATATTAAGCATATTAACCGTAAACAAGTTTAATAAGCATATTAAGCATATTAAGCATATTAACTGTAAACAAGTTTAATAAGCATATTAACTATTTTTACTGTAAACAAGTTTATGTTTCAGCATGTGTAAGCATGTAAGCAGTACAGAATGTTTATGTAGAGTACACAATAAGAGTCTACTGTGTTCATGTTTTACATGTGTACATGCTGAAAGATGCTTAAAAATGTGTACTTCACTACTTCTTAAATGTGAAAAAGAGATAGAGAAACATGTTTTACATACTTCTTAAACACATGTTTACAGAACATGTGAGAAGAAAAAAAAACATATTGGTAGTATGTAAAGAAGAAGTAGCCGTTGAAAAATGAAAAAATAAATAAAATGGAAGATGAAGGAGAAGAAAACTTACTTTGATCGGTGAGTGCTGGGCTGCTGCAAGCTGCGGTTGATGTGGCTGGAAGCTGCGGTTGATGTGGAGGGAAAGGAGGATGTAGCAAGCAGGTACAGTAGAGCAGAGCAGGAGCGGAGCAGGAGGATGTTTACGCTATGTGTTTACTGTAGGTTATTAAGTTGTTTTGACCTTATTTAGTTGGGCTTTGTTAAAAACGTGGGCTTCTTAATGGTCTTGTTTGACCCCACAAGTGAAAACAAGTTGTCAAGTTGTTTACTAATAGTTTTAAACTCCCTAATAGCAGTAACTTTTATCTTTTATAGTTTATTAGTTTTATTTAAGAGTAATATTTACATCAAGTAATCAAGTTGTCTAGCAGGGAGGTCTTTGATGCATCCTCGAGTAATTTTTTCACACTATGGCATCATTTATCCAAGACTTATCCATTTGAATACTAATACCTAGTTTATAGTACAAACAAAAACTCAAAATAGTATACATAAACTACAAAACATGAAAAATAGCTTATAAATATTGTAACTTGGAGTTCTACGTTTCAGTTTAATGTTATAGAAATTAAATATATATATATATAATCCTCAAAAACTGAAGCACACATTTGAATAAACAAAGTAAATCAGTTTTTCCCTCTCCCAAGTCATACCAATATCTATAAATAAACAAAGCAAATCAGTTTGGGATATGTAAAAAAATTATACATTAATCATATTTCCTTATTGAATTAGGGTTGCAATTTGATATAAATGAACTCAAAAATATATTCTAATAGGGTAATAGGGTAATGTTTAAACAACTTGAAACTAAAAACTAAAATATTTTGATTACATTTTGTCCATACAACTCACTGTTGTTAGGCTTCTCAAGTCTTTGAGGAGTTTTGTCAAACACATTGTATGCAAACAAGAATATTGAGTTACTTCATATTTTTTTTTTCACAAACTACTTAATATATATCGATCATGAGTTTCATCACACACATTCATAGGTAGAAATACACTCATAAGATGTTTACTAACTAACCAAAATCAGTTTCTATGATCATACTTTGGGATGTAAAACACAAATCAAATCTAAATATTATTGAAAACTGAAGATGAAAAGTGGAGTTGTGGGTGGCTGGAGAAGAGAACGAAAGAAGAGACTCACGTACAGAGGGAGAAGATGAGGAGGTAAGCTAGAGGAAAAATTTTTGCTTGTTAATCGCACATAGTGAAACACACAACTAACAGAAATCAACAAGCAAAGGACATCCAAAATGCTAATTAACATAGTGAAATCGCAACATCCATTACCCATTTAAAATATAAAATCAGTATATGAACCTGAGAGAGAAGATCGAGGGAGTAAGGCGGCCGGGCGTAGTGCAGCAACGGAGTACGATGATGGAGTGTTGCGACGGACTCGATGTATCTAACCGTTGAAGAGTGCCATGGACTAAATCGATCGACGATGGAGTATGTGCTCTAGCTCTGGAAGAAGAATCAGCCCGTTGAGAAGGATATTAGCGACGAGTAAGGCAGCTATCGGAAGAAATTAGCTATGGAAATCGATTGGAAGAGCAAGCTAGGGTTAGTTTGTGCGGAAGAATGAATGATGGAATTTTTTTGTGGGATAGGATGGGTTACGCGTTAAATTAGCTAAGTTAAAAAAAATTAAAGCACACACCTAGCTAGCTACCCGGCCCATTAAGTGTAAGTATTAGGTAGTGATGCTTTTTTGTTAGAAATTAGTGACACTTCTATGTCATTGGTAGTATTCTGTCAGAAAAGTGTCACTACGAAAGTGTCACTGTAAGCCAGTTTTTTACTAGTGACTGTCCAAGACCTTATGTTTAATATGTATCCTAATTATTATCTTTTTTTCACTGTATTTCTTCAAAGAGCACTGCCTCAAGACTGAAAGAGGCTTTACATAGTGCTACATCACTTCTTGATTTCTACTATTCAATAGGCGGTTTAGTGCTTATCAAGGTAATGAATAACTGATATGCTCTATTTATTGAAATGATGATATTCTGAAGCAAGAAAAGAAGAAATAGTATTCATCTTAAGATGCTAAAGCAGACTGAAGTTGATGTTCATCTTAGAACAATAGTATAGTATATATCTATAAAGCAAACTGAATCATCATCATTATTATATCATAGTGTTGGGGCCGAAACTTAAAAACTGAAGTACTGCTTCCACCTTACTTAAGGTTGGGTATTAGCACTATTAGCTTTTCTTTACGAACTTCCTCTCTATCTCTTAAAGAAAATCCAAATATAGGGGATTAAAAAACAGTAATAATGTTTGTAATATATCTAGTCCCAGTAGATATACTAACAAGGTTACAGATTCATGGCTACAGAGAATTCCAACAACAGAAACCCCAAGCAACAGTTTCATGGCTACAGAAAATTCCAACAACAACAGATTCATGGCTACAGATTCCGACCAGCTAGGGTAACAAAATGGAGAAGCAGAGGCTTAGGAGTGGGAATATGACGCCTGAGAATTTAAGTGATGAACAAGGAGGGTGTAGAAGAACACATACAGAAACTTGAAAATAGAGAGAAATTACCTGGAGAGGAGAGCTGCGTTCGAAAGGAGGGAGCTGCGTTCGAAGGAAGAAGAGAGTTGCGTCCGAGTGTTTTTGGAAGAGAGTTGCGGGAATCTTAGAAAACCTAAGGACTTATTGGGTTTGAGATGACTGGTAATCTCATTCCCTTTTTCAGTTTTGGGAATGTAGCATTCCCAAAAAAAACCAAACCCGCAAACCAAACATCGGAATCTCACATCCCAGGCATTAGATTCCGCCCTGTATAGGATATTACCTTAAACCAAACACTGCCTTAAGGACACTCTAGAATTTAGGAAGAAGAGCTAGAGCCAAACTAGTGAGTATATGGATTGTTTTCTTAATTTGAATGCCAAAAGTGATAAAGATATGTTGTATATCTTCCTTTGTCTTTTCTGTACGAAATATGGTGATATATATATGCATATTAACTATTCGAGGCAGTTACAACACATTTGAGAATAACCGTGTCAGTTTTTGGAAAACTGCACGAAATTGCCCAACCGCTCTAGACCTCGGTCTAGAACCACAGAGTTGGTCTGCTGAATGTTCTATCTCGAGTTCTACTGCCGTAAACACTTTGGAATAAAACTCGTTCTTATATACAAGTGTGCACTGCACACCTACTAGTTTGTATTAGAACACGGTTCTAATCCTCATTGACACTCATGTCATTTCCAATTACAAACGGCCGGTGACACTAAAATCACTAACAGACCCTAGAACCGATCGGATGGTTATCTAGTAGAATGCGAATTGAATTTTGATTTCATGGTGATGGAAAATGGATGACCCTTCATCCCAAATCATTGCTTGTGAGAACCCTTCCTACCCGGTGAGCTAGCCTCCCGCGTCTAGGGAAAGAGTATTAAATTTGGCTCAATTGCACGTCAATCCAAACCCAATTAACCTGTACCATACCGACGGGTGACACAGAACAAGTCAAACTAAACTTTTGAGGCATCATTTAATTCGAACTGAACTGTAATCAGAATGAAGTTCTTAACAATCCGAAATTTCAACACTACGACCCAGCAGCTTGACCAGAAGCAGAAGAAAAGTGTAAAGCCTCAACTTCCTGGGAATTAATTCACCAGGACTAGTTGTACTATATGTAGATGGAGAAAGGGCAATCATGTAGATGGAATCATGGAAGGACACCGCTGACCAGGTCAAAGTTCAATTCCACGGTTCGCACCAAAACTAGCTACCTTAAAATATCCTCATTCCAGAATCATGACCATACTATAATCAGATTCTTCACAAAAAAGGAGAAGATGCAACTGAAGCTAGCAATAGCAGCTCTGCTCGCGATTGGATTCGCCACGGCGACGGCGACGGCGGCGGCCGTGGCTAAGCCCGGCTGCCCCGACAAGTGCGGCGACGTCGAGATACACTTCCCATTCGGCATCGGGAAGAACTGTTTCTTGAACAGAGGATTTAATCTCTCCTGCGACCAAGATTCAAAGTTATGGACGACCCAATCCCATAACTCTCAAACCCAGAATTCCCAATCCCAAATCACAGCCATTGATTACCTGAAAGGGCAGATGGAAGTCCTGATGCCCATATCCCGAAACTGTTTCAACGGATCCGGCGGAGTAATCCGCGACGAACAGCCGTGGCTCGGCGTCCCGGATTCCTTCACCGTCTCCAGCGACTCAAACATGTTCTTCACCGTCGGCTGCAATACCTATGGGTATTTCAACAGCTACAAGGGAGACAATCAGTTCTCGACTGCGTGCATATCGAAGTGTAACAGACCGCCGGAAAAGAAGGACGCCGGGAAGTGCTCTGGGTTTGGGTGTTGCCAGATTGGTATTCCGGCGGTCGGGATGAGGGACCTCCAGGTCGATGCATATAATTTTGGATTCGACGAAAATGTGTGGAAATTCAACAACTGCAGCTATTCTTTTGTGGCGAAAAATGGTGGGTATAATTTCAGTGTGGATGATATTACAAATGTGAGGTTCAATTCGACGCCTTTGATGATAAATTGGGCCGCCGGGAATGAGAACCAGACATGTGAAAGTGCTACTAAAGAAGATGGATATGTTTGCGGATCAAACACGGTGTGTGTCCAGACGGAATTCATGTCTGGGTACAATTGTAAATGCATAGACGGGTATGGCGGGAATCCGTACCTTCCTATTGGTTGCGAGAGTAAGGTCCTCTTTACTCCATTCTTGATTATTACGGAGTATTGTTAGTTAGAACTCTTTGATAGTACTGCCTCCTTCCCATTAACCAGAGTAATACTGAGACATGTGATAAGTTTATTAAAAAAGTGAGTTTGAAAAAGAAAGATGAAATAATTTTTACGGGAAGGAGGGAGTAGTATAATAAGAAAAAGTAGGCTGAAGTTACCTCTAGTTATATGGCTGAAGTTACTGTAGATGATCATTTTAGCTATTTTTTCATAAATCTTTTCTTCATTTTATTAATAAAAATTATTGAAATAGTCTTTCCAAATTGAAAAGATCAATACATTAGGGGAATTAATAAGGGTAATGAATAGTGTAGAAAAAGTAGGAGAAGAGTTGAAAAGGTAAGAAAAAGAAGCTAAAAAGTACGTACTAGAAAACAAGTAATTGAGTATTTTTAAAGGAAAAACTAATCAAAAAAAGAAAATGTAGTAAACTTTTAAATACATCACAAATAGGAAAGTGTAGCAAATTTGTAAATACAGAGGGAGTATAAATTTTTCATATAGCAGCACGATCAGCCAATCGAGACATTTCTACCAAAACTTCAAAAATTTCAGCAAAATCAATCAATTCAGTCAATTCCATTATTATCAAATAGGCTCTATGTTCTTCCCTTATTGTTGTTGTTTGTGCTCCATTTCTTACAGACATAGATGAATGCACTAAAGAATCAACTAATTATCCTTGCGTTGAAGAAGCAAAATGTAAAGACAGTCCTGGTAACTACACTTGTACGTGTCCAAATGAATACGAAGGAGATGGCAAGAAACAAGGAACGGGTTGTAAGCGCAAATCTAATGACAATAATACCTTGCTAATAATTGGTTTGAGTAAGTGATCTCTCTTCGTATGTTTTTACTTGGACCGTTTTAATACTCAGATCAGACCAGACCAGATCAGACCAAACCAGACTTAGATAGTTATAAAAATACACAGGGATCAAGCATTACCAGACCAGACTAGAGCAGACCAGACTAGCAAATTTTAGTTCAAGTAAAAACATCCTTTCCTGCTCTCTTTTCTCTAAGAGCTTTTGAAAAAACACTTTTCTAGCGCTATTCTTTTAAATAAAAGCAAGCCAAAATATTAGAGATGTTAAAATCAATTCATTCATGAATTCCAAGAGTTGACATAAACAAATGAACTCTTTCTTAATAAGATTCTCTAGTCTAGTTCTCCATGCAAAGAATATTTTGAGTAATTATAAAAATTAGAGAGAACTATCAAATAAGCCCTAGAACTTTCATAAAAAGTGCAAATAAGCCTTTTTACAGGAGACTTTGTCCGACTGTCGCCATTTAGTTCGTTTTCTGGTGGAAGATTTTGATGAAATGTTTTGAGCATCTTTTTCATTAAGTCTAGTTTACTCATACCAAATTTCAGCTAAAAATCAACCGAGAAGGCACTTAAATGATTTTCTGAAATATACTGCGCTGCCTAACTGCGCAGTTATCTTCAAAAAATAATTTGACTGCCTTCTCGGTTGAATTTTTATCTAAAATTTGGTATGAGTAAACTAGACATAATGAAGAAGATACTCAAAAAATTTCATCAAAAAATTCCACCGAAAACCGCTCCGAATGGCGACGGCCGGACAGAGCCTTCTATAAAAGGATTTATTTGCATTTTTTATAAAAGTTCGAGGTCTTATTTGATAGTTCTCCCTAAAAATTAGTTAGACATGATGCACAAGTTTAATCAATAAACGCTTCTCAGCTATATTATCATATAATGTTTATACTTTCTTAAAATAAAAATACTAAAATAGTCTATATATTCAATAAAAATGTTTTATATACGAGTACTATAGATACACTACTTCTAAAATGTTAAACTTTCTGATTGAATCGAAGAAAATGTGTATGGCCACAAGAAGCACAACAGTTAGTCGGAAACAAAAAATTTCTCACTACTTCTCATCAAATCTTAACTGTATGGTATACTCAGTATTTAGTTGCTGAAAGTGTGTGTCAAGTCAAATGGGCACAAATATAAGTATAAGTGAAGTATACTACTCTCTCCTTCCCAAAATAAAGTTTATATGTTTCCTTTTTGCCAAATGATCCTACATACATGCACTTCATACTTTACTCTTATAGTTAAAGTTACAACTTTATTATTTCAACTTTACATGTTGTTCACTACTATAGTGAAAGAGAGGATAGTTTAGGGGTTTTATATCACTTTTTTAATCTTTGTGCTCAAAAGTTTTTGTAACTTTTATTTTGGGAAGAAGTTAATATATACATATTTAAAAGAAGGCTATAAACTTATTATTATGCTTCAACTCATGGTACACAGGTTTGAGTATTGGTGTCACAGCTTTGCTTATAGTAAGCTTCTACATATATTGGGGGTCGAGGAAAAGGAGACTTTCTAGACTAAGAGAGCAATTTTTTCATCAAAACGGTGGCATATTGTTACAACAACAAATAGCAGGAAATAGGGGACCAACTGATACAAGAATGAAAATCTTCACATTGGAAGATCTTAAGAAAGCCACCAACAATTTTGATGAAAAGGCGATCCTAGGTCAAGGAGGATATGGAACAGTTTACAAAGGAATATTAGAGGATAAAGGAGTGGTAGCCATAAAAAAATCCAAGATTTGTGACAAAAGTCAAGTTGAACAGTTCATCAATGAGGTCGTCATTCTCTCCCAAATTAACCATAGAAATGTCGTCAAGCTCTTCGGTTGTTGTTTAGAGACAGAAGTTCCGTTACTAGTCTATGAGTTCATAACTAATGGCACTCTTTACGATCATCTCCATAAACAAGATCAATCATCTAATCTTTCATGGGCGACCCGTTTAAGAGTGGCATCAGAATCTGCAGGAGCCCTCTCATATTTACACTCCGCTGCTTCTCCCCCAATCATTCACAGAGATGTAAAGACAGCCAATATACTACTAGATCAAAGGCTTACCGCAAAAGTAGCTGATTTTGGAGCTTCACGGCTTGTCCCTCTCGATCGAACCCAAATCACAACTTTGGTGCAAGGAACATTTGGATATCTTGACCCAGAGTATTTTCACACGGGTCAATTGACAGATAAAAGTGACGTTTATAGTTTTGGGGTGGTTCTCGCAGAGCTATTAACTGGACAAAGAGCAATTTCATTCGCTAGGGCAGAGGAAGACAGGAATCTATCGGCTTATTTTGTTTCATCTCTGAACAATGGACGACTATCCGAAATTATGGATAATCGAATAGTTAACGAAGTGAACTTTGAGAAATTTATGGAAGTTGCGAAGATTGCGAGAAAGTGTTTAAAGGTGAAGAGAGAGGATAGACCAACTATGAAAGAAGTGGCGATGGAGATAGAGGGATTGAGAATTCTTGAGAGGCACCCATGGGGGGAAAGTGAAATGTCTTCGGAAGAGACGGAGCATCTTCTGAAATCGACGGGTGTTCCTTCTCATGCAGTTGATATTGGAGATTCACTAACCAGTACTAGTAAAATAATTGATGTAGAAAGCATGGAACTGATTTCAATGGGATTGAGTGGTGGTAGATGATAGCAATTTGTTGTTGGTGGGAGATGTAACTAATGTTCTATTTGTTCTTTTGTGTGTGTATGGTTTTAAGTACACTAAGTAAACATTGAACATATATTATGTTTTCCTATTATATACATGTAACCATATTTTCATCTGAATATCAACTAAGTACTATATTTGGTGCCAAGTATACTATGGTCTCATGGCATTATTGTTGTCATCCAAAATTAGAGGTAGTAAATTTGGATCTCATTCCAATCGAGAAGGTTGACATTGTCATTGAACGTATAGTCACCATTTCATTTCATTTCATTTCATGATAGCCAAACTCATTACTTGTTTGGCACCATCTTATATATATAGGGAGCGGATCAGCTGAGAAGTGTCCTTAGGCTGAGAAGCTGCGAAGTCTAATTTATAAGAAAAAAACACGAACTTTTAACTAAAAAATCATAACTTATAGACCCCCTCAAAAACACGAACTTTGTGCAAAATTTTTTTCCAGGTTTCTGGAGTTATTTTGACGCGGTGGCATTTACGTATTTTTTTTGGAGGGGGTCTATAAGTTATGATTTATTGGTTAAAAGTTCGTGTTTTGAACTTATAAGTTAGACTTCGCAGCTTCTCAGCCTAAGGGGGGACTTCTCACATGATCTTCTCTCTCTCTCTATATATATATATATATATAGAGAGAGAGAGAGAAGATCATGTGAGAAGTCCCCCCTTAGGCTGAGAAGCTGCGAAGTCTAACTTATAAGTTCAAAACACGAACTTTTAACCAATAAATCATAACTTATAGACCCCCTCCAAAATCATAACTTATAAGTTCAAAACACGAACTTTTAACCAATATATATATATATATATATATATATAGAGAGAGAGAGAGAGAGAGAGAAGAGATCAAATAAAAAGAGGTTCTCCCGTGCAAAGTGCGAACAGTTGCACTTTTTCATCACCGCGTTGCACTTTTGCGTATTTCAGTTGCACTTTTTCGCGGCGGCAAATTTTTTATTTTAATTACGAAATTGTCACCGCGTTTTTGATCAAATTTAGTTCACTTTTGGCTCATTTTGAGCCATTAGATCTGAAAATGAATGCACGAGATTAGTTCTCACTTTGCATGGGAAGACTTCTTTGTATTTGAACCCTCCCCTATATATATATACATAGAGAGAGAGAGAGAGAGAAGATCAGGTGAGAAGCCCCCCCTTAAAATGAGAAGTGAGAAGTAATTTCAGCCCTTGGATTTGCATCAAATCTTACAATGCAACAAACTTATAGACTGAATATAGGAACTTATAACCAATAAATCATAATTTATAAAGCTCTCCATCGTAATTACAGAAATTCCACCGGGTAAAAAAAAAATCCAGGTTCCTGGAGTTATTTTGACGCGGTGGCATTTTCGTAATTATTTCGAGGGGTCTATAAGTTATGATTTATTGGTTAAAAGTTACTGTTTTCAGTCTATAAGTTAGCTTCGCAGTTCTCAGCCTAAGGACACTTCTCACCTGATCTGCTCCCAATATATATATAGAAAAACCTGTTATGTGAGAGTTTTGAGCCTTCAGCCAGGGGGGCGAAGGCTTCCCAGTGTGCGCTGTGGGCTGCTAAGTGCTTGGGGTGCCGTAATTTGGGGCCTGCTGTGCTTCCTGGGCCGGTTGGGCCTTTATCGGTGTAGTAGGAGTCTGTGGGCCGGGGGTTCCCGGGCCATATACTCCATCAGGAGTCCCTCACTCCTTTTGCCGAAAGGTACTTGAGGGAAAAGGAGTAATTTGTGCTTGCCCTTTGATGTTGTCCCGTTGTAATCTCTGAAGTTGGTGAGGAGTCGTTGCTTTCATGTCCCTGCCGAAGGCAGTCCCTCAGTTATCCACATGTCGGGACTTGATGGATTGCTTGGCCGTTTGTTTGAATTTTTCACCATTTTGTAGTTTAATGATTTTCCCGAGGGGGTCCTCCAGTCCCCCACTCCTTGAGGCACTTGTAAAGTGGTAAAAAGGAGTAGAGTAGTTGCGCTGCTGTTGTGGGCCGAAGGCTGACGCTTTTCGTTTCATTTTGGGGGGATGCCTCGTTAAAAACCTCATTAGGAAAAACCCTGTGGGAAAAAATCCTAATGAGGGAAAAAGAGTGCACCGAATTCCCCCAATGATGAATCGAAAATGTGAAACCTTGGCTCAAAATGGAGAATAATGGTAATGTCGAAGGCTCTCCTTGTTCTGAGGGCTCATGTGTTGAGTAGCCGGAGGCTTGCTGTTGTTGTCCTGGGAGGTGCCGAAGGGGACCCACTCGATCTGGGAATCGAGGGCGTGATGGATGAGGGCAGTACTTGAATTGTTACCGGGGTGTCCCCTGCTTGTTGATTAGTTGGTGAGGAGGATATCCGAGGGCTCTCATTACCTGTGTGCCGTAGGCTATCCATCAATGAGGCATACTCCCCGGGGGCTACCCGGCCCTCACAGTGCTGAGGGGGAATCCCCGAGGGGTGGCCTGATATGAAGCCTTGGGCTTCTGAAGGAGTGATCCCGAAGGAGACTGTTATGTACTGTGTGGGCACAACCCAGGGGCGTCTCTGGGTAAGTGTACCCGGAGGCTCTCCTTGATGAAGTGGAGTGAAGTAAGAAAATCCGGGGGCTGCCAGAATATAGCCGTTGGAATATGTAACATCAGGATATAGCCGTTGGGGGTGCGGGGGGGGTACACGTGGCGCGTGATGGTTGGCTGTCCGTGGGCGGCGTCACCGGTTGGGCGAGGACACGGCGTGTAATGATGACGGTCCATCCGGAGGCCCGGTTTCCAGGCCCAAGCCCGGATTCCAGCGCCTATAAATACCCCAAGGCCAGGCACTCTTCCCCCTGTGCGAAATCCTTATAGCGAAGCTCTGCCAAAATTTCTAGAGAGAGAAACAGCAGCCCTCGATCAATCCTCAGTTCTCAAGGTCAGTTCTCCCCTGCTCTTCTCCTTCTAGTTAGCTGTGCCTTGTGCCCTTAGGCTAGGAGATAGAATTTTCTAGAAAACCTTAGTTCTTCCGAGCCCTCGATCTAGTGAATAGATGTCTTCACAAAGCGACTCCCAGGATATCTCGGGGGAGCCCTCGGTCGAGATGGAGATGTGCTCAGATGTGGAGTCCTCGAGCGTGGAGTCCTCGAGGGGTGATGATGCTGCAGTGGCCATGGAAGTGGAGAAGGACCTCCAGGCCGAAGTCGAAGCCGAAGGCTTCGAGCAGGAAAACGAGGACGAAGAGCTCGCCCTCGCCGTGCAAACCGCCGAAGAAGAAGAGGAGAGGGAGAGGATGAAGGTGACGGTCGCCATTCTTCCCCCCCGTGGTGCCGAGGATGCCAGCTCCTCCCGGCCATTGGACCCGACGCCCATCAGTGTGGCTCCCGGGAAGAAAAAGAAGACGAAAATTGCACCCAAGAAGAAAATTGTTGCTGCAGATCAGGGGAAACCCATAGACATGCCCGAGGGGTATTCCTGGCTCAATACTGCTGCCCTGGAGATTGGGTCGAAGGCTGATAGGGAGGACATGTATGTGACCCAGCTGCACGTGGGGCCCTCGGCTGTGGTGGTGGCGCCGGGCCCAGACGACGTTCTTTCCCGGGCCCCCGAGGGGTGCATTGTTGTGCACGTCCTGTCGGTGTCAATGGGGCTTCGGTTCCCCTTGCACCAATTCCTTCGGGAATACCTCCGGTACGTGGGCTTGGTCCCCTGCCAGCTGACGCCCAACAGCCACTCCTACGTGGCGGGCTTTCTGAACCTCTGTCGGGCCCGAGGGGTGACCCTCAGCCTGGATCTGTTTTTCCAGAGCTTCAACCTCTGCCGAGGGGGTCACGCGAACGCCGAGGGGGTCACGCGAACGCCGAGGGGTTCGCCAATCTGCAACAGGTGGCTCGGTGGAAGTTATTCACGGAAGCGCCCTCGTCCAACAAAGGCTGGAAGGAGAGGTGGTGTTACGTCAGGATCGCTGAGAGCCCGTTCCCGATGGAGCTTAGGGATCGCTTCCGTCGGCATCCCAAAGTTGGAAGTGCTGCTTTGGAGAAGGATGGCTCGATAATAGCCAAGATCCCGGTGGGCCGCACGAAGCAAGTGTCCATCAAGGACTTCACTGCTGACAAGGAGCTCTTTGCCCTCGGCTTCCGCAGATATCGCTTCCTTGGCGAGACAGATGAGAAGTATCCTGTGCTGACAGGAGGTAGTCTCCGAGGGCTTCCCCCCTTTTTCCTTTCTTGTACTTAAGATTTTCCCCTTTCCTTTTCTTCCGCTCTTTTCTCCTTCGGTCTAACCCATTTGTTTGTGTTTGCAGGAGTTAACATGGATGCCGACAAACTCTTCGCCTTGAAGAAGAAGAAAGGAAAGTCCCAGGCCCAAAAGAAGGACCCTTCGGTCCAACCGCCCGTGGGAGCCTTCTTCCAAAAAGAGGTCCCGGAGCTCTCTGCTGCTGAGGGGGTCGTTGGTGTGGCGGAGGGGGCCACAAAGAAGAAGAAGGGGGGCAAGGTGGTTGAGCCCCCGGCCAAGAAGCAGCAGGGCACAGGGGTCACCGTCGCCAAGGATGCCCCCTTGGTGGTCATCGAGGACCGCCCCTCTCCGGACCCCCCGGTTGATACTGCGGTGATGGCCCAATCCAATCCTCCCCTGAGAAGCCCCCCTCGGGAGATCCTGCAGCTCTCTCTGGCCCCGGGGGCTTCCGTTCTACACGGCTCGGCGGAGCCGAAAGCTTTCCTGAGGGGGATTACCTCAATGATGGACAAGGCTGCCCTCTCCACTTACGATGACGAGGCCCTCGAGAACAGGATCCTCCAGTCTTCGCTAACTGTAAGTTTGCTCCCTCAGGTTTTGCATTTTACTTTCAATGTTCTTTTCATGTTAATCTGATCCCTCCTTCCGTTGTTCTTCAGGCTTGTGTAGCCCTCGGGAGCACACACGGAGGCTTGAGCAATGGCGCCTCCGGAAGGCGGAGCAGGACCGGGAGATGAAGGAGCTCGTCCTGAAGAACTCCGAGGCCGTGCAGCAGATGACGATGCTGGAGGAAGATCTCCGGAAGGCTGCTGAGGGCAAAGCTGCAGCGGAGGAAGCCAGGAAGGAGGCTGAGAGGGCAGCCAAGAAAGCTACCGAGGAGGCGGAGATAGCTAAGGCCGAGGCCATCGCCAAAGCCCGAGAAGAAGCTGTCGCCGTATTCATGGCCGAGGGCTGGAAAGCCGAAGATAGGCGGCA